AGAGGAGAGGAGAGGAGAGGAGAGGAGAGGAACGCGGGGCACCGTCTCTTCAAAACGAGGACCCAACACCACAGGATGGTTGGGAAATATTCGTTTCTCCGCGGCACCCGTCGCGCAACAACCACGACGGCTACGACTACGGCTACGAATACGACCACGATACGACTACGGCTACAGCTACGACTGAGAGGAGGAGCCGACGATGAGGGTGAAGAGGAGCAGGAGCAGGAGGAGGAGGAGGAGGAGGAGGAGGAGGAGGAAGAGGGGGAGAAGGAAGAGGAGGGCTGGGGGAAGAGGAGCAGGAGGAGGAGGAGGAGGAAGAGCACGAGGAAGAGGAAGAGGAGGAAGCGGAGGAAAAGGAAGAGGAGGGGTGGAGGAGGAGAGGAGGAGGAGGAGGTCGGTCGGTCGGATCTGCAGAATGACCAAGTCGAAAGTAAAGTCGATTTCGGGCTGATCGCAGTGCGCATGAGGCTTCAATAGCCTCTCGTCGGAGAAAAAGAAAGGTATCCACCCTCGGGTGGCTTAAAATTGGGGACACCGTGGAAACAATGTGGAAGCTCTGCAACTCACAAGCAACTCCCAGGGGGGGCCGCGGAGGCGCCCAATAGGGCCGACACAAGACCAGAAGCCGACAAGGTAACCCGAGCCGGGCTCGAAGGGCAAAAACAAGTTTTTGCCATCTCAAGCCCGGCTCAGGCCCAGGCGCCTTCAAACGTCTCCGCGGGAATGGGGGGAGGGTGCGAGCACCAGGCGTTCTAACGTGCTCCAGATACGCTGTTCCGGAGCACGTTAGAACGCCCGGTGCTCGCTGGAAGAAAGGAGAACAAATGTCCCAAGCACGTGGCCTGGATCACCTCATGCACGTCTGCCGCGTCCGCGGCCGCGTCGAGAGCGTCCGCGACCTCGCGCAGCAGAGGTCGCAGGCTCCCATCGCCCCTGAAACTGAACGTGCCCACGCTCGCCGAGGGCGAGTGGAAAAGGTGGCGAGACTGCCTCAGAGTCCCGTGCCGGCAAGGCCTGGTCAGAAACTCCCCCAGCTACCTGGCCACTCCCGCGAACATGAGCGTGCGGATGAAGCACTCCATCACGGGCCCCGCCACGACGATGAGAGCCATCAGCTCGACCACTTGCCTGAGCAGGACTGTGACCTACGTTTTCTTCTTGCCCTTTGAAAAGGCGCTGGAGCGAGTTCTGGGTTTTCCTCTCGATGGGCCCCCGAGGGGGCGGACCAATCTTCGCGGTCGCGCCCGCCGCGAAGAAGAGTTTCGTGATCACCGCGTTCATCGGCGGGACGAGGGAGACCGTGGACAACGGCGCCATCGCAAAGATGAAGTACGCGTGTCGAACTGCGAACGCCTCGCCCTCCCGCTGGAAGATGAACTTCGCCTTCCAATACTGGACTATCTCGCTGGCCACGTGGACGCTGTCGGCCTTGATCTGGTCGAGCAGGACGCGCAATTTCTTCATCTCCGTCGTAACGGCCACGTTCTGCTTGAGCTGCTCGTCGTTGGCGATCGCCGTCAGAACCGCCATCCCCACTGTCAAGCCTGGGTGTCCATGACCGTGATCCCCTCCTTTGCCCTCCACTGCCGCCTGGTAGTTCGTCGCCGCCGCCACCGCCACCGCGTTCCAGGCGTGGTCGCGGGGGGGGATCATGCACGACTGGAGGCGCCCCTCGACGGCGCGGGTCCTCTGCGCGTTTTTGAGGTGTCATGCTGTTCTCGGCATCGTCGTCGGTCGGGTCCTCGTCGTCCGCCTGCGTCTCGGTGTCCAGCTGAGCCGCCGGGCCCTTGCCCTTGCTCTTTGGGTGCTTGGCGAGCGGCGCGCCGCTGGAGCCAAGCCCGGAGGAGGCGTTGGCTGAGGTCCTTTTCTTGGCGCAATGCAGGTTCGCTTCCGTCGGGGGCGGGGGCGCCCGCGACGCCACGGGCGGGGAAGTCAAGAAACGCGCCTGTCGGCAGGGCAACGTGGCTCTGAATGTGCCTCTGAAAAGCCTCAAACGTCTCTGGGCACTCTCCGCACGCCGGGCATTCAAGCGTAGCACGGGCTTGGAGGGGATGGTTTATGGGACTCAAGTCAGCGCGACACCGATGACGAATGAACAGATTACGCACGTGCTGCTGTGCTATGGCTCGGGTAGCGAACCGGCTGTTGCACCGCGCGCACGCATTGGTGACAGTGAGGGTGCTGCTCAGGGCGCGGTGCCCATGCGTGCCGCCACGTGCAAACCGCATCTGCGCCCACCAACCCGCTCTATCTGCAAATTCCAATCCGCATCTTTGCCGCCCTTCCGTCATCTCCATGCACCGCCATACTTGCTCACGCGGACCCCCTTCAGGATCGAGGTCAGCAGGAGGAGGGGGAGGAGGAGGAGGAGGTGCGACGCCCATCGGTGCAACTTGAACCGCCCAATACTTGGATCGCAAAGTTGAGAAATCCAACCGACATAAATCTTCCACAAACTCATCGTCAAAAATGCGCAAGACCTCCCCGCCCATCTGGTCCAGCAGGCTCGCACCATCGTCGAATTGATCAATGCTCAAGATGTCGCGCTCCACCTGGAATGCCCAGGGATTGCCATGATAAGTGCCGTCCGGATCACGATCAAGTTTTCTGCCGTCGAGGGTGGGGCGCGCGTCGGTGGCCAATGTGCCGAATAGCGCCGCCCGGACCTGGATGCTCTGATCAGGACGCCGCACAATCGACTGACGCCACTTGAGGCGACGAACTCGTAGTTCCAGCTCCGTCGGGGCCATCTTCAACAGAGTCCAGATCTCTGTGGCCGTCTTACAGATGTGTTTGGTAGTTTCATCCGCCTGTGGTATCTTTTTTACCGCATCCCTATGCAAGATCTGTTTGCCCCAATGGAGGAGAAGAGAATCAATGGTCTCGAAATCTACGGGCAGCAACATATACGCTTCCAGTCCACTGAGGGCTGCAGATTGGACACGGGCCTCAAAGACTAATAGACGTATTCGACGGGGGACCCCTTTAGCGTGCCAGAAGCGCTCCATGGAGTACCACCCACGCCGCATATTGCTTTTGAGGCGATGGCGTTGTTTGGCTGTGTTCAGGTTGCCAGTGAATTGAACCCTCAAGTAGGCGGCATCTGCGCTCACTCGACCGGCCACTGGAACGTCTCCGTTGAAGAAGGCGCGATGACGACCAGCTGCTCCGCGACCCACGAATCTGACCTCAATCTGCTGCTTCGCCAAGTTGTGAGCGCCGCCGACAGAACCAAGAAGCTCATCAAGCTTGGTGCTCGCTGCCTGGATCCGCGAGAGCAGGACGTCCACAGTAGGCGCAACCAGCTAGCGAGTGATGTCATTTACAAAAACTGAGGTCGACAGATCCACGGCCGTGCCAGTGAACGGATCTGTGCACTCAAGACTAGTTCCCCCTGGGAGTTGCTGGAGAAAAACGAACCAAGCGTACCGCACCGTGCGCAACAAAATCCAGATGTATTTGAGAGGGGCGCTCTGGTGGCCCTGGAGAACACTCTCCCCAATCTTGAAATGGCACGGGCCGTCAACCGCATCAAGGGTAATATAGCTCTCGTGATTTGTTTGATAACCAAACGGCTGATCATGCCGGGATAAAAACAGCCGGTCGGTTTCATCAAACGTGTCAAGGCGCAGGCTACCAAACGCGTTGGTCTGATCATAAAACACTGTGGCGTGACTGATGCAATTTTTTGTGAGTCTCCAACTGCTGATGCGCTGGGCGAGCATGGCGGCCTCGCGCCGCCTATGGCGAAGACCACCGTGCAAGCAAGCTAGGATGATGCGATCAGGGGCGCTCCGATTGCCCTGCACCGTCAGCCATTTTGAAAATGCTCTGCTAGCAGGGCACATGAAATGGATGACTCTGATAGCCTTCATTTTTACCGCAGGGCCAGGCTTGGGTAAACACGCCGCCCAAGGGTGACACCAGTCGACCGGCATCTTGGACACTCCCCGCACCATCCAAAGCACCCCTCGAAACCGGCGCTGAAAAGATGGAAGATCAGGGGGAGGGGAGCGAAACCCAAGACCTCCCCGGCGAAAGCGGCGCCGCTCCATGTTGGGGGCCAGGAGCATTCGCAAGATCTCCGTGGGAAGGCTCCACGGGGGGCAGCTCTTTCGGAGAGGTATCCTAACTATGGAGCGCACAATGCCGTCTAAATCATCGGTGGCGTCACTCATGTAATTAGGAGGGTAATTTTGGCGCCCTGGGCCCCGGGGTGGCGGGGTCTCAAGAAGGCCAAGAAGATCAACACTAACCGCACTTTGGCCTCCTTGAGTCCCCGCCTGTCCGAAGTGCCGCTCCCACTCAGCACGTGCGGGGCGATATTGAACAGGGACATTATAATGTCGTCGCCCAGGGCCCACGGACGCGGCAGCTATTCGACGGGAAATGCGGCTCACATCTGCGAGGCGTCGGGCCTGCCACGCATCGCGAAACTGATGCACTAATTCATCCAGCTTTCGATAGGCGGCGGCACGCTTGAATTGACGGATCCTTTTTGTGAGACAAGAAATCTGCCGAGTCAGGGCGCCAAGGGAAACGAGCTGCTCGTCATCAAGATCGTCGAGCCGCTGGCGAAGAACAGCACGCTCACGCAAAAGCTCACGAAGACGGACACGATCCTGATCATGCAACTGCTCTCGAGAACCGTGCTGATTGGAGTGTCGAAGGGCCACTACGTGGACATCCTGAACAAAAGTACGCCACGCAGCATCCGGGGTCGAGCTGTCATCGTGTCCCACCCACGCGTGGAAAGTGCGACGACATAGCGTTTCGACCTCTACGAGAAAGTCCTCCTTGCCCTCCCCATCCACAGCGGCAGCTACCAGTTTGCCCAAATTCCAGGACGCAGCTTTGGTGACCGTGACACGCGGGAATTCCAACAAGTACCAGACTACGATCTGCAATGGCCAGTGGTCCCATCGACGGCGCGTAGGCACCATCTGAAATGCCCGACCCTCGCGCGGTAGAATCCTGGAACTCTGAAGTGCAGAGAGTCACGAGCGAGGACCACCGAGATAATCGATGCGGGTGTTGGCGTTGTTGCCATAGAACGTGTTCTGCCCACCCATAAATGTACTCAGCAGGCACAGGTTGTACTGATCCATGAAATCCCTGAGCTGTGTCATGGCATTGTGCTCCTGGGCGGGGTAGACGGGGCCTACGGGGCTCGGATCCTGGACTATGGTGTTGGCCATCCAGATGCCCGCGTAGTCATTGATGTCCCCTCCGAAGACGATGGAGGCCCGAGCTGGTAGTTCAGAGCACGTTTTGTTCAACCAGGCCAGGATCTCCTTAATCGTGCGCTGGTAGGCGGAGAACTTGCGAGCTACTGATGGCCTGGGGGGGAGGTACACGACGAAGCATGCAAGATGGAATCTCCCACTGCGTAGCATCACTCCTCCGACACGGCCTTGAATCGAAGACGGGGGACTGCACACAGCTGCAATGTGACGCAGACAAAATCGACGTTTCAGCATCCGTATCTGAACTCCGCAGCGGGCGCCTGAAAAGGGTGCAGTACTCCAGCCCCAGTTGAGAATATGGCAGTGCTCATCCATGATCGAAGTGCACTCGCCGTCCGTGGCTCGCCGGCGAAGCCTTGTGCCCGTGATGAACTGGATGTCAGGCCAACAGCTGTACGCGGCGCTGACCTCCTGCAGGAGGAGGAGGAGGAGGAGGAGGAGGAGGCCGCCACTCAATGCAACAGTGGCCCACGCCTCGCGATGCTAGGAACACCTTAGGTAACCGCGAAATGCAATCATTATGTAAGAGGGTGGGAAGGGGGGCGGGGGCGATTGGCGGCGCGCACAGGGGGGGCATTCGGAAGGAAGGAGGACTTCTTGAAAGCAGGGGTGCTTTTTACAATCAACCTGTATGACAAGGACGCACGAGAAAGATGCAAGGGCCTCGCAAGGCCATGCCGACAGTTTGCGACCGGCGCGCGGTCCGCGAAAGCGGCCAGGGATGGGCCGAAGGGGCAGGATGCAAAGGTAACCTTGGAAAGCCGCTCACCCTTACTATGCGCGTTGACTGTACCCCCCTCGCCATCGCTCGGACATCCATTCCCCGCACATTCAGGTCAGGCATGTCTCCCTACCTACAGGCGGATTTTGAAGGGAAGGATGAAACATAGTTTTCTTCTTCCAGACCAAAAGAAAACTAAAATTCAACAATGATCGAACGAATAATTGACAAGTCGTCCCCATAATATGTGTGAAAACTAGTTTTGAATATCCCTCCTGTAGGGGGACATGCCAGACGTAGCCGTGCATATCTCGATCTCGTGCGCGATTCGTTTCGCACCGCTGGCCCCAACATTAGGAGGCAACTGCTGGGAGGTTTTCGTCGGAAAGATTAGGGAAGATTAAACGCAATTTGAGAGCTGTTGCGCCGGAAAGGGCCTCGGACCAAGCAGGATTAAGCCGGATTGCGCGGGATTGAGCGGGGTTGAGCGGGATTGAACTTGCCGTCGCTCGGACGTCCATTTCCCGTGCATTTTTCTGTTTCGTGCGTGTTTTTTTTTTGCTCGATGGTCCAAGGTGGTCCTCGAGTGTGCTCGCCGAGGAAAAAGGTACACGTCCGAGCGATGCCAAGTAAACTGGATTTAGCCGGATTTCGGACTAGGGCAACATCGGAATTCGACCTCCCAGGAGCTGCACCCCAACCAGCGCGTGCCCTCTGACGGCCCTCGCCGGGGAAGAAAAGCAACCAAGACTGCACCGCACGACCGAGCGATGTGCCGAGCCTCGGCGCGTGGCCGAGGCTCGGCAGCGAGTGCGAGGGGGGGGAGGGGGAGGGGGAGGGGGAGGAGGATGCGGATGATGATGAGGAGGAGGAGGAGGAGGGAGGAGGAGGAGGAGGAGGAGGGAGGAGGAGGAGGAGGATGAGGAGGAGGAGGGAGGAGGAGGGGGAGAGGAGGAGGAGGAGGAGGAGTGGCAGGGAAAGAAGAACTCCCCGTCGCTCGGAGGTCCATTCCCTGTGTTTTTGCTCGGTTTCGTGCGTGGTCTTTTCGCCAGGTGGTCAAGGATGCTCCTCGAAGGTCCTCGCCGAGAAAAAATGCACACGTCCGAGCGATGCCAGGGGAATGCCTTCGCGGAAGGGAGCGGGGCTCGTCGGAAGCCCTCCGGCCCTCTGAGAGGTGTTCATTATCTTGCGCAGCTGTGTTTTAGATCTCGGACCTCTTTATTATCGCTCGTCGTTCGTCGTTCGTCATCCCCCCTGGCCAGGGAGGAAACTCCTGGAGGAAGGAGGCGAAGACCTCCTGTCCCTCGCAGCTCCTTGGTGCAAGAGCCAAGGCACGCGTGCCACTTGTTTCTGTGTCTTCGGGGAAGGCTTAGGAAACTTCTCAGAAGGCCCGGGGGCTTCCAAGCCTTCTGAGAGTATTGAAAAGCTTGCTTCCAAGCCTTCCTCGGCTTCCAAGCGCGCCATGAACACAAACTTTTGGCGCTCCGCGAGGACTTCTTGGATCTGCGCTGGACCCCCCGGGGCGGCGCCCGAGGCGCCGCCAGGGGGCCCCAGCGCGAATCCAAGGAATCCGCGCGGAACGCCACGAGTTTAGGTTATGGCGTTTTCTCTTCTTCGATCCTCACTTCCCCCCCTCGCTCGCCGCCGGGAGACTTTGTCGTGGCACCGCCAGGGGGCCCCGGCGAGGCACCGCCCGCAGCAGGAGGCCCCCGTCCCCGGGTCCTGCTCCAGCTCCTCGCGCCCCCGCGCGCCGCAGTGCTCGGAGAGGCGCGCCACGAGCGGGTCCTCCCGGAGGCTCAGGTCGTCCAGCTCGCCGGCGAGCTCCCGCGCCCACCACGCGAGCAGGAGCAACGACGAGGCGACCTGGGGCCCAGGACCCCCTCGGGCCCGGAAAAGGAAAGAGCATCGCGACGGGCGGCGTGTCGCTACTGTTTTGGGGGGTGGGAGGCCTCCCGGGGCCCTCGCCGGGGGCCTCGGGACCGTCCCAGAGCGACTCGGGATGAAAAGGCGGTCCAGGCGAAGGGGTCGACCCTCTGGAAAAACCGTGACATGACATCGGGGGTCTGGGCAGAGGATCCAGGGAAGGCAGCACAGCCACCGCCCGCGTGAGGAGCTATGGGGGGGGGTCATCCTTGTGGTGTGAGCCCCCCCCCGCTCCTTTTCACCGCTCGGGGGAGGCACCGCTGACCTCCTCGCTGGAGGTGGCTCCCCTGGTGGTGGTGGTGTCGCTTGTCTTTCCCCCGCCAGCGACCGCACCGGACGCGCACCCGAGCGGCCTTCATGGGGCCAAGCCTACAGTCGGCCCGTATCGTAAGGATGCGAGATAAGGATGCAAGGGCCTTGGAAGGCCATCTCGAGGCTTTCCGAGCGGGGCGCGGCTAACGAAAGTGGCCAAGGATGGACCGAGGAGGGAAAGATGCAGGGGTACCCTTGGGAAGGTTGCCCATCCTCACCATGCGGGTTGACTGTAGGCCTCCAAGCGCAATGAACAAAATGAGGCGGATGTTTCTCTCCGTCTTCGGCCTCTGGGAGCCCTCGCTGGGCACCAAGGACGCCAAAACACGACTCGGAAAGAAAACCAGACAAGGGGAAAAGAGTCGGTCAGGACTCCTGGGGACCCTGTATGAAAGTGAACCCAGCGCTGACCCCAGGTAGCGGAAAACTTCCTATTGCGGGGGCGCACTGCGTGGCGTTGCGTGGCATTGCTTGGCACTGCTTCGCACTGCGCGCTATTGCTTGGATGTGACTTGAACGGCTTGGCACCGACTTGTATGTTGCTTGATATATGGCTTGGCATTAGTTGGCATTGCGTGGTATTGGGTGGCATGGCGTGGCTTTGATTGCGATTACGTGGCAGTAGTTGGCATGCGAGGCGAGCCAGCAAGGAAACAAGACCAAGGGATCAAGAAACTACGACAAAGGAATCGAGGAACCGAGACTAAAGAACCAAAGCCATGACATCAAGGAACCACGACGAAAGAACCAAGGAACCACGAGCGGGGAGCCAAGGAAACAAGACCAAGGACTCTGGACAAGGCCTTCTAAGAAAACAAAGCCAATGAACCCCGAGCACATCCGTTGCAAAGAGACAACGCCGACGAATCAATGGGAACCCCCTGCGCGACCGCGCGACGCCCATCGCTTTCTCCACGAACAAAGCAAAGCCCCTGAGGCAAAGCCGACGAATGGGGGAACAGACAATCTGAGGCCTTTTCGTGACTTCTGGGGCACGCAGGCCCCAGAAGTTACGAGAAGGCCCCCCGCGGTCTCCAGAGCACCCCTTACGAGGCCCAGGGGACCCCAGGGGATGCAAGAACAAGCGAGAACCTGGGGCCGAGGAGCTGAGCACTACACAAAACGGCAAGGGCCAGGGGCCAGGCCCGGGGAGAGGGGGGCAGGCCGCGCATGGACGAACGACGAACACAAGCACGGCCGAGCTTCGGCACACAGCCGTGCAGGAGAGTCCATCAACATGTCGGAGCTCCACGCGGACTTCGCGGGTCGGCGCAGGACCCAGGCCCACCCACCCCCTGCGCGCGGAGCGCGCCAGGGGGCGGCGCCGGAGGCGCCCGCCAGGGGAACTCATCACCGACCAAGAGATCCGTGCGGAGCTCCGAACGTGGGCGGAGAAAGTAGGTTGGGTTCAGCCCCTCCCAAGGGATAACAAGACGCAGCAGAAGCAGATCGATTCTTGAAGTAGGAAGGCGCTTGAAGTAGATGGGGATCTTGGAATCCAAAATACCTACTTTCAACGACCGGCGTGCATGTCTGGGCGTCTGTGTTCTTCTCCCATTGGGGGGCACCCCGGGGCCGGGCCCACACCCTCGGCAACCCCCGAGGCCTGCCGAGCGGCCGAAGCGCACTCAGCACTCCGCGCGGCCAGCGGGAGTCAGCAAGCCTCATGGTGTGCGGGCGGCACCCGCGACGGGGAGGGGGGGGGGCGTCGGGCGCGGCCAAACCGACCCCTAGCAGGCCATCTCCTTCCGTGGCATGGCCCTCGCCTTTCGAGCTTCCCTCTGGCCGCATACATGCGTCTTGGGGCGAGGCCAGGGCCACGTCACGGAAGGCGATGGCTCGTCTGGGGTCGGCTGGGCCGCCCCCGCGGGGTGGTGACGGGGCAGCTCCCAAGAGGAGCGACCAGGGGCCATGACTGCCGACGAGCGGGCCGTTGCGCGGGACTCGCCCAACTCCAGCCCAAGATGCGGCCGGATCATGTCCGAAACGACGGGGGTTCTGCCCGGTCAGGCCGGTGTTCGACCACGGATCGGCCAGCGCCGCTGCGGAGTAAAACCTCCCGGGAGCTGCACCCGCCGGGCAGGGGGGGGCAAGGGTTAAGTCGGGCCTGGCCCCCTACAGGGGGATCTTCGAGGAAAAATGACAGATACTCAAAACAGATTCCAAAATTGTTAAAACATACTTTTTAAAAATAGTCCCCTGACTGTTATTGACTATTTTTGAACATTCCTCCTGTAGAGGGACGTGTCCGACTTAGGGCAAGCGGGCAGGCGGTGGCAGGGAGCGGCCGAGCCACTACGCCCGCGGGGAGTGAGAAGCAGGCAGTCGGCCTCCTCCTTCTTCTCCTCCTCCTCCTCCTCCTCCTCCTCCTCCTCCCCCTCCTCCACCTCCTCCTCCTCCTCGCCCTCCTCCTCCTCTGCCTCCTCCTCCTCCTCCTCCTCCTCTGCCTCCCCCTGCTCCTGCTCCTGCTCCTGCTCCTCCTCCTCCTCCTTCTCCTCCTCCTCGCGTGAGCGAGCGGCGTCTTGGGCTCCCGCACAAGCTGGCCATCTGCGGGACATTCGCGCGCGAACAATGCGTGCCTGTAAGGTCTGGAGCTCAATCATCTTGTGCGAAAGTCGAGGCCTCCCAGATGGGGTCGGAGTAGCTGGGTCGGAGAATCGCTCCGCATCGCCGATACATCGGCGACGCATCGGCGATGCACCGGCGATGCATCGTCGACGTCGGCAATGCATCGGAGCGTCGACGGGAAGCAAATCGGGCTGCACATCGAGCCGCACTGCCGATGCATCGGCGATGCGGCGCGATCCTCCGACCCCGTCTACTCCGACCCCGTCGAGGAGGCCTGCAGAAAGTCAGGGGGTATGTGCCCTGGAAACTCGAACTCACCGTACAGGCATCGGCGGGCCACGTCGACTTGCAAAACTCTTCGAGGCCCCAAACGGGCCCCGATGAGCCGAGACCCCGGACACTGGGACCCGCCCGTCATTACTGTTCCGTGGCGCTGGAATTTGGGGAGGGCGACGTGTTTTTTTTTTTTATGTGGTATGACATCTCTTCGCAGCGTGGTTCTGTAGAAGTGTCATCTAACGTTCGCGCACATGCGAGCCAAACCACATCGAATTGTTAAACGATTCCCAATACACAATTTTGAAATACGCTCGAATCTGGGAGATGGAGGATGATCGCATTTCGCGGGCGACTGCGGAGGAGGACATGTTGATAACCATGAACGTGTTCTGAGCGATGCACCTACCGAGGAAGTCGAGAACTAAGCTACTCTTGAGCTGTTCTTCCCTCAAGCGGTAAACGAGGAACTCGGGCTGAGCGTGGAGGAGGCCCAACGGTAGTCTGAAGCGTAAAGCTCTACGACTCTGTTGTAGATTGTGCGATTCCGATAAAACTGCTTCATCAAGCTTGCGGAGCCGGTGCCATGACCTGCTGCGCTTTCTGATGGGAATAACTTTCGAGTAAGATCCATGAGCGGGTCCGAATCTTCCATGCCCGCTTCGCGCTTCAGCATGTCTACCACCTGCTCTTGGATGTGCGCGGGGGGGCCCGACAATTTCCCCACGAAGTCGTATTCTTCTAGACGTCGGCCATCGCAAAATACGTGCTGTGGATCGAAATGGGCGTTGTAAAATCCGACTGCGTCCACAAATCCGATGTACTTCGGGAGCAGCTCGACCACAGTCTTCTCAAACAATTCCACCTTCTTGCTTTCCGACATGTTGGTGACCTGGGGACCCAAGCAATCGATGCCCCCGTACTCCCAAGCGTCGCACTTTGACAACCAAGCGGACAGAAATCGTTCTGCAGGGTCGCGCAGGAATATTGCCATCTTCCAGCCGTTTGCTTTAGAGATGTTCTTCCTGAAATAACTTCTAATACGCTTATCTTTGGAATCAGAATTTGATGTCCAAAAGGGGTTGTCGTCATGTGGGTCGAATCCGTATCCGTTTAGGGCGTTAAAGAGTTTGTTGAACTGCGTGCACGCGTTCTTCTCAATGTAGCAGAAGGCCATCTTCTTGCTGGGCACGATCAGCATTCGGTTGTCCCAGTGCGTCTTTCGGTTTGGGCCTTGAGGGCCTCTGAAGGGGAAGTCGTCGTGGCGAGTGGCAGGTGCCCATATTCTCGGGTGGCTCTGATCCATAGCTAGAGACGTTGGTGACGGGTCGAAGATGGAAGAGTCGTACCGCTCGGGAACGTAGAAATCGTCGAAAACCTCGTCGAACGGACCGATCGAAGAGACCCTCAGGGATGTCGCCGCAACCGCGTGCGCGTGCAGCGCTGCAGTGGCCAGCACCACAGCTCCCCGCAGTAGCATGGCTAGCGGTGCAAGTGAAGGAGTGTAGAATACGTGTAAGACGGGCTGGGAGGGCATGTGCTGGGCCATGCCGGCGCCTTGAGATAAATGGCTACGGAATTCGGGGAGGGCGACGTTGATCGGTGGTTCAAGGATGGGGTCCTGAGGGGCTGGGGTCCTAAAGACGAGGACAACTGGGGTATCGTTCGCCCAACCGGGGTACAGCCCATCCAACCAGGGCTTGGACCAACCTGCCCCCCGGGTGCGCGGACGTCGCCCTCTCCCTCCCTGAGGAGGGGGGGGCGGAGAGAGGGGCAAGGAAAGGGGTGGGGGGAGAGAGGGGCAACGATGGAGTGCGGGATCGGCCGCAAGATCCCCTCGCGAGAAAAACCCCACCCCGAGAACCCGCGCGCGAGGTGCACCCGAGGGGAGCCCCGGAGCAACCGGAGCGCAGCAGCTCCTTCAACCGCCGCGGGAAATCACCGCCCAGGGCGCGGAGCGAAGAAACCCCGTGTACTCCAGATTTCGTAAAAAAAGGGAGGGGGTCTCATTTCGGGGGGGGGGGGGTCTCTTCCAGGCTATCTTCCAGGGCCTGGGGGGTCTGGGGACGATGTTCTGGAGGGTTCTCCCACGGGGGAGGTCTGAAATGGCTTGTCTTGGAGGGTCCAGACCCCCTCCCTTTTATTACGAAATATGGAGTACCCTGACGAGAAGCACGCGTTTTTTCTTGTGGCGCGACCCCACTGTAGGGGGGGGGGGGCCTCGACCTGAGCTCGGCGAGGCGCCCCCGACCGCGAAGTCCGCACGGCCCTGGGCGGGGTGGAGCCATCGGACCCTCCTCGGCGAGCCACGGGCACTTGTGAAGGGCCCCCAGGACACACAAATAAATACACACAGAAAATTATCCCGGCAAAGCAACCTAACAGCGATGTGTAGGAGCATATCTGGAAGCATTCCCCTTAAGATTCAGATGAGAATCCAGTTGTAGAATTGTGCTGTTCTCGCAGTCGTAGTCGCATTCGCGATGACAGTCGCAGTGGCAACGGCAGTCACAGACACAGCCTCAGCCTCAGCCTGCCTCAGCCTCAGCCTCAGCCTCAGCCTCAGCCTGCCTCAGCCTCAGCCTCAGCCTGCTTCAGCCTCAGCCTCAGTCTGCCTTCAGCCTCGGCCTCAGCCTCAGCCTGCCTCAGCCTCAGCCTGCATCAGCCTCAGCCTCAGCCTCAGCCTGCCTCAGCATCAGCCTGCCTCAGCCTCAGCCTCAGCCTGCCTCAGCATTCAAAATGTGGCCCGGGAATGGAGTTCTGGGAACTCGAAGAACACGAAGTGGCCTACAGTTGGCTCCGGGCATTCAAAATCATGCCCAGGAATGGAGTTCTGGGAACTCGAAGACCACGAAGTGGCCTACAGTTGGCTCCGGGCATCCAAAATGTGGCCCGGGAATGGAGTTCTGGGAACTCGAAGACCACGAAGTGGCCTACAGTTGGCTCCGGGCATCCAAAATGTGGCCCGGGAATGGAGTTCTGGGAACTCGAAGAGCACGAAGTGGCCTACAGTTGGCTCCGGGCATTCAAAATGTGGCCCGGGAATGGAGTTCTGGGGACTCGAAGACCACGAAGTGGCCTACAGTTGGCTCCGGGCATTCAAAATGTGGCCCGGGAATGGAGTTCTGGGAAGTCGAAGAGCACGAAGTGGCCTACAGTTGGCTCCGGGCATTCAGAATGTGGCCCGGGAATGGAGTTCTGGGAGGTCGAAGAGCACGAAGTGTGTGACTGTTGGCTTAAAACGACTTCTGCGGCACCCTGTCCGGCACCCGCCCAGACCCCCCTGTGGAGTCATCTGCTGCTCTCTTTTGACACCACTAGAAACCTATCAGAACAAGCTGTTAGGTAATAAAAAGATTCCCCATATTTTCGCATATTTTCTCGGTTTTTGTCTTCCCCACCACTTCCCATATTTTCTTATATTTTCCTGGGAGTCGACGATTAATTGTGTCTGTGTGTTTTTTCCCTCCTGAAATTGGGAGCCCAGGCGTCGTCCTCCCCTTGGGCCCATTCCCAGGTGGCCTTCGGCTCGAAACCCGGGCCTCCCGCGGCCGCTCGCGACGCTCCGGGCACCCCCCGGGAGCGCTCCCGGTGACTCGCAGCTGCTGAGAGGCATCCCGGCATCCCGAGGATATGCCGCCGCCGAGCACCGACGAAAACCACCGACCGCCTCGAACCTCGAACCCGAAACGTTCCCCCCATCGTGGCCCCCATCCTCCCCCCATCCCTGCCGTCGCTCGCACGTCCCTTTTCCTGTGCACTTTTGCCGGTGTCGTGCGTGCTTTTTGCTCGATGGCCCAGGACGGTCCTCCGTGGTTCTCGCCGAGAAAAATGCGCACGTCCGAGCGATGCCAAGCCTCGCTGCCACTGGGAAAGGGGGTCGCACTCTCGCCGGCCCCCGCCGGCGGAGAACGGGCCAATGCCCAGCGCGCTCTCCGCCGGCGCCG